TCGTTCCTCACGTCAAAATCACCACTTTTGAATTTTTTAAACCACTCGAAACACTGAGATTTACCAAGAGCATATTCACCGTAAGCTTCGACAAGCATTCGATGTGATTCTGCAGCAGTTTTCTTTAAATGATAACAGAAAATCAATGCTGTCCGCAAATCATAGTTAGTAGGCTCGAAACGTGACATGTTTAAGGTTATACAAAAATATACTAGAGAATGAAAGTTGGGGTTATGTTTGTTGACAATATTCGTCAGCTGTTAGGAGAATATAATAGCGCGGCAGTAGCGGTCTTACGGTCACTAAACTGAACGCTGGCACCATTTATAGGGGAATTCCGGTTTCATACTTCTACACCTGGTAAAGGGAAAACGTGTCGTGCTGGTTATTCTGTCAAGTATCCGTCTATATTCAATGAGAAGTGAAAACGACGAACGGATGGGGATGTAAAACGCGCGCGTACGCGCGTCCAGAGGATTCGAGAGCGCGCGACGCGATCGGAACTGCGTTACAGCTTCGCTGCTTTTGGCTCGCTCGCGGCACATGCTGGAGGATACGCGGAAAAAAATCGAAGAACGAGAATGGCTGTGTAGGACGAAGTTGCTGCACCGGGCAAATGTATGACGTAGGCAAGGCAACGGTGCATGCGACTAGAACGACCAGGCGCATGCAGAAGGTCTGGCCGCGCGCGCGATGCGGGAAGGGATGCTATTTCTGGCGGCTTAGGTTTCCCTTTCTCCTCCCCTATGCATCGCATTTCCTCCCGCGCATTGCCTTTCCACGTCTCTCCTCGCTTCTCTCAACTGGCACACGCACACACACACACACACACACACACACACACACACACACACACACACACACACACACGTGCGCGCACGCATGCACGCACACCGTACACACACAAACACGCACGGATTCTTCGTTCGATCGCGAGCGATTTGCCCGATCTCCTCTCTTTTAATTTTCTCAGCGTGTCTATGATTTTATCTGCGGATCGTTTTTACAAATGTCAGTATAAAACTAATCGAGGAACGAGAAGATGGTCTGTAGGAACAGATCAAAAGGAAGTGACTTTGAAGTTTCGGTTAACTTTAATTAACGTTTGCTGGAGAAATAACGCTTTGTGGAGATAGTGGTAACTGTGTGCGCGTGTATTTCGCGCTAATTCGCGTTTCCTGGCAAGTTTTGAAGAACATTACGAGAAACGCAAGGCAATTCTCCAATTTCTCATTACAAAGCACAATACCTAATTGCATGTAATCATCGCGGCGTTAATTTTAGTTATCGATTTTATGTCGACCCCTTTCCCTAATGAAAACCGAGACGAACTTGTAGCGCGTTTGTGGGGAAAATTTATCGAATCACTGTAAAAGTTTAACGCAACATAATAAATGGAGAAACATATCAAACTATACACAATGGACGCATGAAAAAGCGTTGTTAATTTTATGTCACATTTAACATTTGCTAAATGTCACAGGCGAGACCGTAAACCTGTGTAAACATCTGAGTATGTATGTAACATATGAACGAAAAAGAACGCCCTCGACGAAAAGCTTTCGCTAAAAACAGGTCTTTTTAAATTATTTATGAGATTATTGACGAACCTTACATAGGACATCCGTTGTGAAAGAAATCGAAGAAGATATTCCTGACCTTCTTCGTCGATTGGCATATTGTATTTATACAGGACGGTATAAATCAACCTGCCCTGCGCGCCACCGGTGCAACCAAGAGAGCCCGAGTAAGTAATTTGCAGCGATTTCCTATTGAAGTGCTGTGCGCGATCTTCACAGCACTTCACAGACTATGCCTCGAAGAATCGGTTGGAGAAGCCAAAAGTCTCGGGCAGCGCGCGGCTGTGTTTCGGTGTTTCGCAGCGTACGGATCAACGACAGTAACCGAACGCGTTCGGCTCTGTCGAGCGGTGGACAGGGCAGGGAGGAAAGAGAGACAGAGGAAGAGAGAGAAAGAGAGAGGAGAAACAAAGCGAAAAAGATAGAGAGAAAGAGAGAACAGAGAAAGAGGTAGGGAGCGAGGGGCAGGGAGGGGAAGAGAGGGCAGAGGCGAGACGGACGAGGGTCAGTCGGTGACAGAGAGATGAAGGCTGAAGGCGCGTGGGGGATGGAGGAATGGGGGAAGCCGGAGTGCCGGTTCTACGTTCATTCATAAAACGAAGGCGGAGAGCGACAAGGAACGAATTGTTAGTGGCACTCGCACAATCACCAGCTCGGCCAACGCGCTCTCGCGTCGAGAGAGCGACGAATATTCGTAGAGAGTATCATTCGCTCGGTTTGCCATTGCTCGCGAGAGAGAACGAATATATCACACGATAAAATCTATTCTTTCCTTTTTTTGGTAGTAATAATAATGAATGATTTTAGATGTCACACGCACTAGGTGCCGTTCTTTTTATTAGTTTTTTATTAGCTGAGCTAAGTTACATTTTTTATCTATAGAATGAGACGAGTATGTAACCTAATGTTGAAAAGAAAAAGAACAAAGCTCCGCACCAGTTCAGTTAGAAGGAACAAATTTACTCTTGTAGATTATCTGCAAACATTTCAAAATTTAAGAATTCTATGATTGTGTTTCTTCGTAACATTAATATTTTGGTTATATAACATAAGAAATATCATAGGAATATCATAAGAAATATCATAGTTATAGATATTAGTTATTCCATAAAATTGTAGTACGTATATCTAATTTTGAAATCCTAAGAGTGTACACTCATTCCTTTTCAACATATAAATATTATTTTTTTTTTTTTAGTTATTTAAAGTACATCAGCTTACCTTTATGGATCTGTGATCAATTGGATATCCGCCTTTCCTATTGCCAGGGCTCTCCTCGTAGAAATCCTGGTCTTCCTCCCCGTAGTCGTACAGGGATTCCATATCCATCGTATCTGTAAGTAAAATTAATTTATTATTTAGTTAACAAAACTACCCTAAACGTAAATGTAACTTTATTCTTGGACTATGATGTAGTCTACATATAAACGTAAACATACATTGTGCTACAGTAAACACGTGGTGGATATTATTGAAGTCGTCGCGTGAATGAAGATATATAAACAACGCAACGAAACATGAATAAAATGTCAGAGTAGCGTGGCTCTCTCGCGCGCGCGAATCACACGACACGACGTCCCAATTATAATTTTATACCTCCGCCAGCTTGGCACGATATTCTGGTTAGCGGGATACATTTATTTATCAGCCACTAAATAGTCCGCTTTTAGATTCGCGGTCGATATCGCTCAGCAGAAGACTACGCGGTAGTCTAACTGAACGAAGCGGTCAACCAACATTCATAACGAATCATACAACTTCTTCAGTTCAGTGAATCACACAAATTCTTACAATAATTCAGATTATACCGTGCACATAGAATGTCTCGAAATTTCAGATGTCAACCTTGATATTTCCTGATGACTTTAAAATCAATTTCCTCGTAGAGAGAGAGAGAGAGAGAGTTATGAAAAAAATCGTTGTTTGTTCCAATCTTACAAAACGCTACGTTAAGTAGTTTTGATATATTGTGTCTCGCTATATTTTTCGATCGTAATTCACAATCGGACTTATTTTAGTTTGCAGACGAGTTGTTTCAGTTGTAAAAATTTCAAAGTGACAACCGACACGGTGCAATTGTACATAAATGTGTGCACATCGGAAAATACGCAGCCTTAAGCTTTACCGCTGCAGTGTCTGGAATTTCGCATATATTTTTTTATCGAGTGTTTTAAGTGATCGTCTAAATACTGTTACAATATGCTACAAACATTCTTAAATATAATATGTGAGATGTTTTATTTAGTCCATTTCTTAATTCTTAAATTAAACACTTTCATCAGTATTCCAAAGGATCGATTTTTTTCTTTCAACGATTCTTTCTTTCTATTTACTTAACGGAAAAATGAAGTTTTTGTGTTAATTAAGAGGAAACTTTTGTACACGAGCCGATGCTGTTGTACGAAAGCGTAGAGGGTATTCGAATCTCCGTCGCGATGATCAGGTTACCCCGGCTGGAACCTTAGTCGCCAGATGGTAGGTGGAAAACTATTCGGCTACCTCGACACACTCTCACGACCCTTTATACACGTGACTAAAATGTGTCTACAAGAAGCTTCAAAAACAAACGGACGATAGAAGGCTAGGCTTCTTCGCGAGGGTACCCGGTGCGACAGTTTTCCACGATGTCGAGTAAGCTATTCTCTTATCGATCTCGTTGAAAAATTATATCGTTTATAAAGACTTCCCGAAGATATCTTTTAGCATAATTAGCACTTAATGTTTTATACGTTGTACAGTGCTGTAGCTTGTACATTTCATACTTTACAATAATAAACATCTGATATTTATTAAATTGTGCATATATGTGTGTATGTAGAAATATATATAGGAGAGATCGGGGCTAGTTGGCAAAAATCGAATTATTTCTACTGTTATTTAACAGATTTCAAAATGAAGCAAGCAGGGGTTTCATCGTTGACACGTTTAAAAATCTTGCTTGCTTAATTATGTAAGTTGTTAGAAAATAGCAGAAATAATTGGTTTTGCCAACTAATCTTTGTCTCCCTATGTGTATGTAAACATATGCATATATAACAATATTATTCTATAAACTATATAAATAATCAAAATTATATAAATATATAAATTATATAAATATAAAAATATAAATTTGTATCGAACATGACTCATGGGACATATTCCATACATGTATGCTCTATCATATACAGAAGTAAATTAATATTTTCGTTCATAACCGCGCGTCTTTTACTTAGCAGAGAACATATTATCGATATTATCGTGGAAAATAGTTTACTTTCGCGAATTTGCAAAAAAACTCCTACTAGGTTAAAGGCGAGTGATACACGTCAAGCAGTCACGACGAACAGTGGCGACGAAACGTTTTCGGCCATTATCGACACCGTTGAGATCACATTTTTTTCGCGTTCCTGCAAGATCTTGTTCAATAGTGCGTCATCATTGAGTGGTCAATCAACGCTTTGCGATTTTCGCCTGGCATATTCTATTATCGCGTAAACACTTATCATTACAGCGTCGCGATAAACATCGCGTAATTCCCTCCTCGAAAGTGTTTATCGAATTGAAGAAAAAGACGCGTTATACGATGGGCCGCGCGACACGAAAAATATCAACAGTCTTTCTTCCCCTTCTCCTCCCATCATTCGCCGGAAGTCCGAACTCCAAGAAGGTTACGTGAAGATTACGCGAAGAAGCTTGCGATAACAGTAAAAACTTTAACGTGTGAATGAAGTCTGAAGTTACCTGATACGTTATTTGATCAATTATACCGATTACTACCGCGATAATACACTGAAAAGACGATTGCTCGGAGCCGCGAACAACTTGATCTCGCTCGAACCGCCATATTGCTTGAGATGCGTGATTCGGTTGCGTAAGACGCGCGGGAGAGGGCGCTCAATATTAATCAAGCGTTCTGTTTTATGCTCGTATTCATAGTTAGGCCTTATATTTAAGATGTTCTGTAGCCAATAAAATGATCCGTAGAGCATCTGAAGATAAACTTAAGGAAACTTTAACATGATAAGGCCTGGGCCTATTCTTGAAATTTTTGTGTATACGTAATTTTCGTTGCGCAGCTATTTTATGGTATGATTAAACCTGCGCAGTAAAACTTACGTATACGAAATTATTTCAAGAATAAGGGCCCTGACTATGTGTTTGTGAATACGGGCATTAGCTACAGTATATTTGTGCATTTGTTATCCGATTGGCTATCAGATAGTGAATTTCTAAAGTCCTAAAAACATCCTTCAGAGGCACACTGGAAATTTTAACGAATCAGAGCGTTCGATGAATTATTGATAGATCGAACCTTAAGCGGAAAAGATAGTACGGTTGGTCTATACAAGTTATGCCAACCGGATTCCATAATAAAATATAAAATCTAATTATGTCGCAGCAATCACAGAGCAATCGCTGAGTTACAATGACGATATCTGATTGCTTCAGCCGAAATGTATTTTCGGGTGACATTTATGATAAATGTCACCCCAATCGATTTCTACTTGTCACAAACAGGGGCCCTATTCCGTAATCACTTACCGATCCGACAATTGTTTATAAGTGGTTACGGAATAGGACCCCAGTGCAAATATGTTCATTAGTTGATGTGTCAAAATATAATTGAGTCATATCAATTACATAAAAACAACAGAAGCGACTGACAATTAAATATTCTGGTTATGTATGCATCATATCTTTTTCTCGTGTATTAGTCGATTCTATCAAAAGTCGATTTTTCATCTGAATCTATATACACGCTTGAGACTGAACGAATAATTCATATTTTGCCGAAATAAGGCAATTCTTTTTATGGTCAACACAATTTATAGTCACAATATAAATAAATGTTCGTTTCGTGTGATACGACGCAAATGATACGACGATATAAATGTCTATGATGTCTTAGGAGGAGATCCTAAAGACATGTGAAACAAGTAAGATATCTTTCAGATATCTCTAAGTTATCTCTTAGGCCCGGTTACACCATTATTTTGGTTTTAAGCGAGACTTAAATATATACGTCTGTCTTTATTTATTTAGAAAGAAAGATAAAGATAGATGTATGTTTAAGTTTCGCTTAAAGCCAAAATAATGTTGATGCAACCAGGCCTTAGTCATTTATGCTGCATGGGAATAAATATTTATCGTGATTCAAAGGCATAGTATTTTTCGGCAACAAATGAAATTTCTTGCCACAGTTTCCAACGCAACACGCAATATATTTCTACGCTAACGTTAACATTTCGCGCAATATGTTCTCAGAAAAGAAAATATACTACTCGGAACATCGCGCCCAAAGTAGCTTTCTCCTACGTTGCAAAATTCGAGTGCTATTGTGTGTGTATGTCTTAGGCCTATTGAAGGCAACATAATATCTGTCGGGGGACCACGGCTAAGTTTCCATATGCGGGCAGATGATCCTTCCCGGTCAAATCGTACGCACCCGTATGCCAATCCCTATGTCGTTAATGACCCGAACGAGAAAAAAAGTCATGAATCATCGTTAATCTTGGACGAACTGCTAGCGAACTCTACGCCACTCGCTCGCAAATTGACCTTTCGTGGTTGAAATTCGTTTCAACTAACGCTAAAAGTTTTGATGCAACGAGTTAACGCTAAAAATTTTGTTGTAATTTTAACGTATGTTTGTTACGTGGGAAATATTAAGATCCTAAAGTTCAAATCGCTGACTTTAAATTCGTTACCTCGACTGTCCGGAGAAGCGTGCGGTGAATTGTTTTGAACGTTTATATACATAGAGTCAGTAATAATATGCATTGCTCAGAAAACAATTAGAGGTGTGTTCCTGCAGAGCTTACATCAGCTAACAGATATTCCGAGTACCGAATCTTTCTCGAATTTTAACCTTTAATACATGTAGTTACATCTTAATTGTCTAGTGCGACTTCTTAATTGTTTTGCAGCAATATATATAAATTTTCGCGAAAGTTGGATCATTTTTAATGACGTCAGCCACGAAATAATCAAGGATCTGCCACAAATGATTGGTGCTTGGACTCTGGATTTTTAGGCGATATGGAACTGTCGAGTGTCGTTCCATTGAACGACAACCGATCGCTCTCGTTTCGAATCGGTCGACCCTCGTGTCCACTGGTCGTCCATTACGGAAAGTTCTCTTTCTTTGTTACCGTTCGTTATCTTTGGTAGAAGTAAATGAAAACGGGAAGAGGAGATATATATATATATATATATATATATATATATATATATATATATATATATATATATATATATATATATATATATATATATATATATATATATATATATATATATATATATATATATATATATATATATATATATATATATATATATATATATATATATATATATATATATATATATATATATATATATATATATATATATATATATATATATATATATATATATATATATATATATATATATATATATATATATAAAGAAGGAACGGGGAAGCAGAAGAGAAAGAAGAAGAAATGACGAGATGAAAGGAGACATGATACAGGTCGTGACGTTGCTATGCTGCGGTCTGAGACCCGAGGAATTGTACAAAAACTTTCAACCGACCGACGCGGAGATCGTCACGTTCTTCTTCTCCAAAATTACTTTTGTCGCCAACAATAAGTAAGATAATTTACGAAACAATTCACCGTCGGTACGCTCCAAGTAGTTCCTGTAAACATTAATTTTAGTTCTGTTACATTTTGTTACATTATGCACATACAGACTAGGTAATTAATGCAAATTGAGATAATTGTAGTATAACTTTAATAGTCAATTTAATATTAATCATGTATTATCATAAATATTATCAGTCAGCTCAAATTCTTATCTTTTCTTTAGATATTATTTGAAAAATTAATTAAAACATACGCCAAGAGAGACTAGCTCAAATTTCCACATTATTTATAGACCACATTATTAAATTTCTCTCAACGTTTCAACTTCTAATAAGCTTCTAATGATAAAGAAATTATCGCTTATTCAAATTGTTCCCTTATCTATTTTAAATTAATCTTTCACAGATGAGCACACGGTGACATCGTATCGATAACCCATCCACTACCAAAGTCGATTTCATTGTTACCAGGCGGTGAGGCTATTTCGATATTTTCCGTATTACAGTCGTGAGAGTTGCGGGATAAGCTTTTACGTGGAATAACGCAAACATAATACACACGCGCGGGCCGAAGAAACAAAGTACATATTTTCCCAAGAATCGACGCTCGCGCTAACGTTAACCAAAATGCACCAACCGAGTTTGCACGCAAAAACAATCGGTCTCTCTTGAAAGTCGCGGGTAAAACAACTGTAACGAGCGTTACAGTTGTCAACAATCGATCTCTCAATAATTTTATGCAGCTTACCTCGCGGTGAGGAACGCTTGGCAAAACTTGCCGTGTTTGCTCTCTTCCGTTGCACTTCCTACAACTTTATTTCTTTCCTCCTTTTCTCGCCATAGTTTGAGTATACTTCGATTTACATGCGGAAATAGCACGAGAGAGCGTGGCTAAAACGAACAGATCTCTTTCGTGTATCGATTCGGAGCAACGGTTCACTAGTGGAGAACACAATGACGATACAAACCTCGATTTATCCCCTTGTACAAATCTTTCCTCAGGTCTTTATAATCGTGCGTAGCCACAGTGGTTATACGAAAAACAGTGAAGGAGAAATGCACAACTCTCCTGCCCGCTATTTTTAGACGTTCGATTCGGACAATTCGTATACGTGATGCGATTCGAGTATGCTGCGAAGTTGACAACGCTTCGTTAGTTTCGACAGATCAACGCGATCTATTTTGGCGCGTTTTTTATTAATTTATCGTGAAACGCTCCGTTCGCCAGATCGGTGCAATGACGCGAAGCGTCCGTGTCGCTTAAGTGAGCTAAAAGCAGCCGCTTAGCGCAAGCTGAAACTCGCCGTCGGAGAATTCTGTTCTCCACGACCCATTCATAAGCGGTGCCGAGCGGGCGCGAAAATAAACGTTACAAACATAGCGTGTCCGTGCGATAAACGGCCGCCAACAATGCGTCTAACGTTCGCATAGGCGCGCGTTATCGGCGAAACGACTCGAGAACTCGGCGATCAAGCTAATCGCGCCGAGACGGGGCGAGTCGGAAAAGCCGATTGAAATTTCCGCACTTTTTACGCACCTCTCTGACGATTCGCTGACGGTTCCAGGAACTTATCAGTAATTTCCAAGCGGTCCTGTGGCACACGAAGAACACCATGCAAAAAGAACGCAACACTAAGCGGGAATCACGTGTACGACTAGGAGGCGCACGCACATCGGCAACAGCACTGACGCGCAACAACGCGGTGTATACTCCTCGTATACACAATACAGATTACAAAAGTGTTATGGCCGCGTTCGCGACGTTCATGAATGAAACTGAGAGCACTACTAACTTCGCACCGTAATTTCGGCCACCGGCCAATAGCTTGCGAACGGTCCCTACGTGGACGTCACGTGACCTACCGGCGCATCTTAAAGTTCTCGGAATACTCGACAGGTGGCCATAGGAATTCTAGGGAATCACCATCGATTTCTGCGCTTATTATTTTCCTTAAAATTTTTCAGTATTTCTATCCATTTTTATTGTATAAAATGAAAGAATTTTATATAATGTGCATATTTTTTCGTGTTTACTATTATACTTTTGATAATTTTAGCTAAAATTATTACAAAGTCTCTAGAAATATCCGCCAATCAGAAAACGATTTTTCCACGGTGTCGCTACCTGGCGACTGAGAAAAGGCGGGCTCTGACAGAGAACAAGAAACATGACAACCTGTGTAAATACATAGGTTACAAACTTGCTTACGATTGAGATCTTGTTAATATTTTTATTCAGTTATTAATGTTGATCTAGTATATGTTGAGGAAAGTTCGCTTTAATCGGTGTGTTTTACAACATCTAGATGGAAACTTTAAAAAACACAGGAGCTGCCAGGATGAATAAAAATAGGAATACAGGAGGAAACCAGGAGACCGCAACAACGGGGTATAACACATTTTTAAGCTTTTTGAGTCACAAATGTTTTGTTCTAATTTTGCAACATTTCAGGGATAATAAATTGGCAAGATTACTTGAGATCAAAGAGAATGATAAAATCGATGCAGTGTATGATTTTCATAGGATTACTGATTCAAAAGAAAGGATAGGGTTTCTGCTTAATATGCATGCGGTAAGAAATTTTGAAATAATAAATACATAAATCTTTTGCCTTATTAACGTAAAATATTGATTGTACTGTTTTTGTACAGACAGAGATAGTGAAAGATGATAAAAATTTACTGAGCGGTGTAGATTATTATTTCATAGAAGAAGATGCTACTAGATTCAAAGTATCCCTGCCTTATTCTCCATACTTCTATGTTTTATGTCGTAAAAATACATTTGAGGAAGTGTCAACGTTTTTATCTAAGAAATACACAAGAATTTTGTTAAAAATTGAAACTGTTTACAAAGAAGATCTTGACTTGGTAAGTTATATTTAATTAATATATATTCTGTGCAAAAATTAATAAAATAAGGTTTCTTAAATTTTAAGTTTAATTATTACTTATTGCTTTAAAAAAACATGTTTACATTTGTATTTTTTTATATCATTTTAGCCTAATCACTTGATTGGTTTGAGACAAAAATATCTGAAACTTTCTTTTGCTAATATTGTTGACTTGACTAAAGTTAAGCGTGATATTATGCGTGTTGTTAAAATTAACAAAGTGCGAGAGAAAAGTAATACTTATTATACAAATATGCTAGCAACTACATTACAATCAAGTGAACAAGACAATAACAGTAAGCAAACTTTAGATCGCATGGACAATATTCTTGATATTAGGTATACATCTTTATTTACTCTTTCTTCTGTATTTTCTTTTAATATTTTTATTATTTGTATTATATATTTTTTTAACTTATATTAATATCATGTGATTAAATAATGTTTACAGAGAACACGATGTACCTCATCATGTTCGAGTATCTATAGATGCTAACATCTTTTGTGGAGTTTGGTATTCTGTAAAAACCAAGGGAAGTGAACTACCTATAATTACACGAAGAGAAGACATTATTGAGTCACCTGAACCTATTGTGTTAGCATATGATATTGAGACCACAAAATTACCATTAAAATTTCCGGATGTCAATATTGATCAAATTATGATGATATCGTACATGATAGATGGACAGGTTTAAGATTTAAATTTACACATTAAAAGAACAAAATTAATATCTATTTTTTCAAATTTTAGTTAAAGAAGTTTCATTTTGCTCTTTTTCTTCCAAAGTATGTGGAATTAGTGCTTATATATTTCTTTTTAGGGATACTTAATAACAAACAGAGAATTAATCTCATCAGACATACGAGATTTTGAGTATACACCGAAACCAGAATTTGAAGGTCCGTTCACGATATTTAATGAGTCTAACGAAAAAGCGACAATAACGAGATTTTTCGATCATATCAACGAAATAAGGCCGCATATATTTGTAACCTACAACGGTGATTTTTTCGATTGGCCTTTTGTTGAAGCTAGAGCAGCTATACATGACATAAATATGAAAGAAAGGATTGGTTTTTCAAAAAATCGCGATGGTGTCTATGTCAGTAGAGCTGCTATGCACATGGATTGTTTATGGTAAGTAATCTCGTAAAATGTATTGTTTTAAATATTCTCACGAAAATTTCCCCTTTTACAGTTGGGTAAGACGCGACTCCTATCTTCCAGTGGGTTCTCAGAATTTAAAAGCTGTTGCTAAAGCCAAGTTGAGATATGATCCGGTGGAACTCGATCCAGAAGATATGTGCAGATTAGCGTCGGAAGAACCAGAAATACTTGCGAACTATTCCGTCTCTGATGCCGTGGCAACATTTTATCTTTATCAGAAGTATATTCATCCCTTCATATTCGCGTTATGTACCATTATCCCTATGGAACCGGACGAAGTAAGAGGAATAAATAAATAAATAAAAATATATAAATATATGCATATGCTTTTGACAATAATATAATTTGTTTTTATCATATTTTCAGGTACTTAGGAAAGGATCTGGCACACTATGCGAATCACTTTTAATGGTGCAGGCTTTTAGAGCTAACATTATATTTCCTAATAAACAGGAAACCGAACTGAATAAATTGACAAAAGATGGTCACCTATTGGACCAAGAAACGTATGTGGGTGGACACGTAGAAGCTTTGGAGTCAGGTGTTTTCAGGGCTGATATCCCTTGCCGTTTCAAGATCGTACCAAGTGCGGTGGACGAATTGATTGACGGTGTAGAAAACGCCTTAAAACATACGATACAAGAAGAGGAGAAGGTACCGATTGAAATGGTGACAAATTTTAACGAAATAATGGACGAAGTTAAAGGAAAATTAAAAGATCTTAGAAATCAACCTTTGAGATTAGAAAATCCTGTAATTTATCATTTGGATGTAGGCGCTATGTATCCAAATATCATCTTGACTAATAGATTACAACCTTCTGCAATCGTAGACGAGATGGATTGCGCGGTGTGCGATTATAACAAACCCGATGCTCTTTGTCAAAGAAAGATGCAATGGATGTGGAGAGGCGAATATTGTAAGTCCGAATATAAGTCTCTGCGCTCACATATTTTCTAAATTTTTTCATCTATTTTTAATTTAACTTAAATGGTTAACAAATTTCAGTGGCTGCTAGTTTGGGTGAGTATCAAAGGATAAAGCAACAGTTGGAGACTGAAAGATTTCCACCTCAGTTCCCTGGCGGATCTAAGAGAGCATTTCATGAGTTAACTACAAAAGAGCAGGCCACATTTGAAAAGAACAGGCTTACCGAGTATTGCAAAAAAGCTTATAAAAAAGTTAAAATTACGAGAACGGAGGAGAGGACGCAAACGATCTGTCAGAAGGAGAATTCCTTTTACGTAGACACCGTGAGAGCATTTAGAGATAGAAGATACGAGTACAAAGCATTAACTAAAATCGCCAAGCGACAAGTAGCAGCGGCTTTGGCGAAAGGAGACGCTGCTGACATAAAATCTGCTAAGAATAAAGAAGTCTTGTATGACTCCCTTCAACTTGCTCACAAATGTATTCTCAATTCTTTCTATGGCTACGTTATGAGGAAAGGGTAAGTTACAATGAAACATATTAAACCATTACTAATTAACACACATGGCGACATATAATATTTGATTACAGAGCTAGATGGCATAGCATGGAAATGGGCGGCATTGTGTGTTATACAGGAGCCCACATTATTATGCGAGCTAGAGAAATTATCGAAAAAATTGGCCGCCCATTGGAACTCGATACCGACGGTATATGGTGTATATTACCTGCATCTTTTCCAGATTCTATTGTAGTTCATACTACTCATGAGAAAAAATCAAAATTTACCATTTCTTATCCAAACGCCGTTCTCAATTTCATGGTGAAGGTGTGTGCAATCGAACAGAGAGGTATATTTTCTTTTTTCTCCGATTTTATTATTGTATTTTCTTTTTTTTTTTTTTTTTTTTTAGGATCAATTCACTAACGATGTATATCATGAGCTCGTGGATAAGGACAACTTAACGTACAAGATACGGAGCGAGAACTCTATATTTTTCGAAGTAGACGGTCCATATTTAGCAATGGTGTTACCTGCTGCCAAGGAAGAAGGAAAGAAATTAAAGAAACGATATGCAGTTTTCAATTTTGACGGTTCGCTTGCCGAACTGAAAGGATTCGAAGTGAAAAGAAGGGGCGAATTGCAACTGATAAAAATTTTTCAAGCATCCGTGTTCGAATCTTTCTTAAAGGGTAACACGTTAGAAGAATGTTACGCGTCAGTCGCAAAGGATGCTGATTATTGGCTTGATTTATTGTACAGCAAGTGCGCGAATATGCCTGACTCAGAGTTATTTGAGCTCATATCTGAGAATAAATCAATGTCGCGTAAACTGGAAGAGTACGGGGCCCAGAAATCTACGTCGATTTCTACCGCTAAGAGGTTAGCTGAGTTTTTGGGTGATGAGATGGTCAAGGACGCGGGCTTGGCTTGCAGATATATCATAGCGAATAAGCCGCAAAGCGCACCGGTTACCGAACGTGCGATACCGTTAGCAATATTTCAATCGGAACCGGCCGTGCGAAGACATTATCTGAAAAAATGGTTAAAGGATCCCACTTTGTACAGCGACGACATAAGGGACATCTTGGACTGGAATTATTACATTGAACGACTCGGCAATGCTATTCAGAAGATAATCACTATACCAGCGGCAATGCAAGGCTTAGCCAATCCGGTCCCACGAGTGCAGTATCCACCTTGGTTGCATAAAAAAGTAATTGAGAGAGGTGCGTCCCATCGTCAGAAGAAAATCACCGATATATTTACTAAAACAATTAAAGAAACCTCTGATAGCATCGAGCAGGAGTCAAATTCCAACGAATCTCGCGATATCGAGGATCTCGCAGGACCATCGCGTGGCTTCAAAAAACCGTCGTCGGTCGTCTCGGTCGTTAATAAAAGGAAAAGGCGTCTATCAGAGGAGGAGGCTGTCAAGAATAAAAGTTGGAAAGAGGTTCTGGGTTCACCTCCTCCCAGGGGAAAGACCAAGGAAGAGAGAATTAAGTGGTTAGAGTTCCATAAGAAAAAATGGGCTTTCCAAGCTAAACAGAGATATCAACATCGACAGAAAAAAAGCAAAGTGTCCGACGAAAACGATGGGGGTGTTTGGGGAGTTATACGAAATGCGAACACGTCCACTATGGATGGCTTCTTGAGACGCGCTCAACGAAAATTGTTGGAAACTCCTTGGCAGATTATTCAATTGTCGGAAACTGGCGAGCCAGGTATGTTCCGTTTGTGGATATTAGTCGAAACGCAATTGCATCAAGTGCGTCTCGTGGTACCACGTGTGTTTTACGTGAATACCCGTAAAACCAGATCTGATCCAGGATCTAACGAACTTTGGAGGAAGAGTTTCAAGTCTTTACCGCGCTCTCGCCCGGTGTACAATCTGTATCGATATTCCTTGCCGGAATCTCTGTTTCAAGAACACAGTCGGGAGCTTCTTGAAGACTTGAGCAAGCCGGAAATCGAGGGCATTTATGAGACGCAAATGTCATTAGAATTTCGAGCCATATTGCAATTGGGATGCGTATGCATGGTCGATCTTCACGCTGCACGTAAGATGGCAGACGGCGCCGACACCTTTTCCTTGGATCAGTTAGAATTCAAGAGCATCGCCTTTCAACCGTATCTCAAGCAGACAGAATCGATCAACTACATATTTCTTTATCATCATTGGAGCTCCAATCACCAAAGGGCACTGTGGAGTTTATTTCTGAACGCTAGCAAAAGGGCTTATGTAATAGTTTTAGATTCTGTCGCTTCTAATCAGATGCCGAACTTGAATGCGCTGTACGCACAAGAACGTAGCGCGATATTGGGTCAAGAAGACGAAAGCAAAATAAACAAACTGCCCAAGACCATGAATTTCGTGGTACAGAGCGAAACGAATTTTCAACAAGTATGTCGTGTATTGCAAGCGGCTCTAACGATATACAAGAATGAAAGTCACGGTGCCACGATCATCATTAATCAGACCGCTTTGGACATAACAGTACTGACCACGGAAATGCCGCTGCTTAACGAGTTTCCCCTCGTCAATACGCACATACAGGATGTCGAGAATCTGTACAGCATGATGGAATGGCAAAAGATCGGCGCGAAAATGATGATCAGGCATTATTTGAAGAGTCAGCAGATCCTCGAGTTGATGATGGAACAGTGTCGCTTCTTTCATGCGCCCATTGGTAACATACCCGCTGATCCTACCCTCTTCGGGGCGGATTTATTCTACGCCAGGCATTTGCACAGGAACAATTTTGTCTTGTGGTGTTCGCCGACGGAGAAACCGGACCTGGGCGGCAGCGAGAACGACGATAATAGATTACTGACGGATTTCGAAGAGAGCTCCAGTTGCGCTGCGAATAACCCGGGTACGTACTCCAGCGTGTGCGTTCAGCTAGATGTAGAGAGTTTGGCGGTCAATGCGTTGCTGCAGTATCATCACATTCATGATATAGACGGAACTAGTACGTTCGTGGCCTTTCACAACCAACAACGTCCTTCCGTTCAGGTTAGTCAATTTTTTCACTTCTAGAAGGATTAAATTCTGGTTCTAATTTATTCCAATACTAATTATATCATAAATTTAAATTTTCAGGACATAGTGACCGGTGCCGATGCCGCAACGATTATTCCTAGCTACGACGAAATCACTTTATGTAATCCCGCGTTTAAGACGTTGCGAAGTATGGTGAACACATGGTTACTCGAAGTATCCGTCTATAAGAATATATTTGCTGATTATCAATTGATTCATTTCTATCGGTAAGTTTTCTTTGCATTGTTCAAAATATAATGTACTATTTTATCTTTATAAATATATATGTAAATCTACATGTTTTTGAAAAAAAAGAGCTATTGTTAATTTTTTCAAATCTAAAAGCTTTAAAATCTGTGATCGTTTCAAAATTGACAAATTCTCTGATTCTATTATAAATTTCATCTTTTAATCATTAAAATATTAGATAATAGACATAATGCATATCATTTTGAAATATTTAGTGAGTCGAAGACTATAACTGAAAATTAAAAAAATGGATATATATATATATATATATATATATATATATATATATATATATATATATATTGTCTGTATTTTTCCAACACATAGAAATTTATATAATCATATGATTCTAGGTGGCTGAGATCTTCAAACGCTTTACTTTATGATCCTGCTCTACGTCGTACATTACACACATATATGAAGAAATTATACATACAATTGATAGCAGAGTTTAAAACGTTGGGTTGTATGGTAGTTTTTGCGAATTTCAACAAGATCATTGTGTGTACGCGGAAAAGATCGGTGGCCGATGCTTTAGGATACATAGAATTTGTTGTTCAAACCATACGAAACAAGGAGTTATTCCACAGTATTGAAATTACATTTGATCAGTGTTGGGAATATTTAATATGGCTTGACTTGGTGTGTGCTAATCTATTATTTTTATGTTTTAAATAATTTTAATGTATTAGTTTTTTAACATAGCATTGTTTAGTTTAATCTAGTTTAATTTCATAGTGTTTAATTTCTGTTTGTTTCATATTGTATATATTTTCAAATCTTAGTAATTATAATAAAATTTGATTCTCTAATTTTAAAGCACAATCACGCTGGTATTAAAGGAATGATAGCGAAGGAAGGTAATGCCAACGGTGGTACGGAGGGCAGTGAAAATAATACTGAAAATAATGAAAATGAGGAGGATGATATGGTAGGTAAAACACACATCTAGGTATTTCTGAAAACTATATTAATAGCTTTTGTTCAGTAATATATTTTCAAGTTTATTTTCTTTGCCAAATTTATTTGTTTATGGTTGAATTACTTCTATATAGCCTCAAATAATGATGAACTGGAGTTTGATGGAGTGTCTACCGACAGAGGCAGGATGTCAAGCGAGTTTCAATGCTATAATAGCAGGGTACATAAATGCAGTGTATCAGTGTATGATCGAGAAGGAAGTCAATAATACCATAAGACCGAGGAGAAGACAGAGTCAAAGTCAATCTTTCACAATGCTTGGTTTAGGAGCATTGGAAAATACAGCAGAATTTGCAAAGAAGCTAATTTCCGGAGAGATGTCACAAAAATTATTCAAGTATATATTATTATATTTCATATAAAATTAATTACATAAAATGTAAAAACAAATCGATAATTAACAATATGTTTGAATCTTCTATTATTATTTTTAGAATAGCGCAAAAGATACATCGAAATTTACCAGAGAAAATATTACCTTTGAAAGAATACCCGAATTTGGATATGGGTGGAAAAGAAAATATAAAGATCAATCCTGCTCTTGAATTGATTAAAGCAATATGCAAGGTAACGATATTATTATAATACATTTATTTATCAAGTAATATTTAAGATGGCTATCCGATTTGTCGAGGATTCTTGCTTATATTTCTGAAAATTTCAGGTTTTATCTTTGGATAAGGAAGTTGAAACTGAAGTTTATAACTTAAGGTCGAATCTCTTACGATTGATCGGAGTAGGCAGCCACAGCGACAATGTCGAATGGAAAGAACCGTGTATCTCTCTCATCTTATCGGAAATTATATGCAAAGCGTGTAATCACACAAGAGATATTGATCTTTGTAAAGATCAGCATTATACGATTGAAAATAATAGGTACGTCGGATTTGAAATTAATATGATTTTAATATGAAGATGTATCTCTTTTATATTATCGTTTTTACAGGCATACGTGGAAATGTCCCATTTGTGAAACTTTTTACGACAACGCGGAAATAGAATTTTTATTGATCGACAAGTTAAATCGCAAGAGTATGGGTTATGTACTGCAGGATTTACAATGTCGAAAGTGTAAAGGCATCAAGCGTGAGAACATGAGCGTGCAATGCTCTTGCTCCGGCTTATACGGAAATTTAATCCCGCAAGATGAGATAACGACATTTGTAAATATATGTAAATCTATAGCGAGCAAATGTAAAATGAACATTCTAGCAGAGATAGTAGAGAATACGAAACTCTTTACTGATCAGTAACTGAATTGAAGCATAGTAGAAAACACGAAACTCTTTACTGATCAGTAATTGAATTGAAGCAGTTTTATACTATCGATCAAATATAAGAGAAAATCAAGGAGATGTTGTATTAGAGACTAAATGTTTCGAATTTCATACTAGTTTCTGTTTCAGATGCATTTGCATGATAAAAAAAAAGACAGGAATAATTAATACTTGTATATGTATTTTTGCGATTAATTATCCACTATTTAATAGTTTAACTATTAGTACATGTTCTATGATACATATTGAGATATTTATTTTTTCTGAAGACCTGTATCCACAGGTGGATCTAAAATACAAAGTACATGTTAAATCAACTAACATATAACTCATGTAACATTTATGCAAAAAAATATAAAGTTCTTATATAAGTTCTAATTTTATAATAGATCAAAAGTAATACTTAGTAAACACACAAGAGACATTACATACCTGTAAATTGAAACTGAGGAAATTGTGACATATCTGCTCCGTTATCACTGCCAAACTGTATGCGAAGTTTCTGTAGTTCAGATTCCCGTTCCTTCATGATTTCTGGGCTAGCATCAACCAACTTGCCACCTCTTAAATTAGACAGAATTCTTATGGCGTCAAATAAAAAAATAATTTCATATTCTCATTAATCGTTCTTTGGATACAAATAATATCTATAGTTAAATATCTAAATAAATAAATCTGACTTATATATTTTGATATTATTTAATCAAGTATTTTATTCTTTTCATTGTAAAGAAATATGTATCTATAGACAAAAATTAGCAGAAACATATGTTCTTAAAGTATCAAAAGCAACATTTATATGAAAAATTGTTTTAAAATCAAATTTGTGAAAGATGTAAATAATATGTATAAAAATACTAGATATAATAGGTAACTTAATGTAAAAAATGGTTATCCAAAAAATATACTTACGCGCTTTTTGACTTATATTCTCGAATTTTGTCAAGGAAGAGCTGTTGTATGGGATCACTTGCTTTTTGCAACACAGGGATATTTGTACCGAAGCTACGTTTTACAACTTTCGGTACTTTAACGAATAAACGTAATTTCAACATGATTGTCTGCAAATAACATTACACAAAATAATTAAACAAAGAAATTTCAGATTACATACAGTAACTGTCAACGACTATAATTTTGCATTTTCCTTTCAATAAGTTAGATGGATTCTTATTTTAGTAAATGTTTCGATTATGCATCAAATTTTTATATTATTATTTATTTTATTAGATATCGAATTTTATAAGGAAAAAGACAAAAATTAATTGCTTATTGAATTTCTCTTACGTAATAAATACAATAATATTTGTTGGTTAAGTTTTAGGTTGAGCAAAATTAAGCATAGAAATTGAACACGTATTAGCTCGTAAAACAATTAATTGTAACAAAAACGTGTTATGTAGACATTTCATCACATATATATAACAACAATACTTAATATACTAACTTCCTTTCTTAGCACTTATACGACGTAACCTAACCTCTTCGTATCTTCGATCAGAAGATAATTACTGAAAAAAATACGACCAATCAGCAATGTTCCCAGTGTAACGAGATCGTCACGCATGCGCTCAGAATGCATCTCGAAAGCAGCTTTTTAACTTTTAAATGTAAGCTCTCAAAAGTTTAACTTTTACTTAAAAAAAACTTAAATGTTTTAATTAAGATTTTTAATTTGGATATAAAAATTTACAAAATTATGATTAACGTTTATAACAAATCTCTTTAAACTTAATAGAGATGTTTCTTGAATTTTGGAAGATAAGTTGGCGACACTGTTGGGATGTATATCGCCGGCAAGATGTCGCGAGCAGGATTTCCGGTGGCATCGGATTTCTGTACGTCGCGTGGTCCTGTGCCGTGGTGTCGTTTGCCGATGACGAGGTGATTCCATGAGTAAGAAATTTCATCAAGTATCAGTATGACGGATGACGTAGTTGTGTTGGACGATCCTGTCCATAAAGAGGAAATAGCGCACTTCCAAGCACCGGCGATCCAGCACAATCCGAACGGTTGGGGTCCGTGTGAACTGCCAGATCAATTTAAGGACATTCCTTATCAGCCATTTTCGAAAGGCGATAGACTGGGCAAGGTAAGCATGCCAAGCTTATTTGCCGTATTTATTCCGTTGTTATCAATATGCTCAGTAATGTATTCTTGTTTGTTTCTCATAGATCTCCGACTGGACCTCGCCGGCTTTTCCAGACAAAAAGTTTTCAAGTGCGTATATCGTTGCTTTGATTGTTCGCATTGTACGCTTAACCTCTGTCCCCAGTTTCTTGAAAAATCGATTGGACGCCTCGTTGGCATTCTTACATCGCATATGTTGTATTGGACTAACAATTTATTTGTGTGATTAAATTTAAGTTTTTGTAAAGAGTATGAATTGAAGAATTAGAGGAATTATATATGCTTTATATTGCATACTGTACATAATTTTGATTTATACATGCATAAAATTTTAAAGATAAATAGTGCCAATTCTATTTTGACATTGTGATGTTGTACAAAATTTATCATATTAATTTATAATATTAAGTGTTCATTATTTGTGAATTGTTATAGTTAGAAAATACAGGATATTTAACACAAAACAATTAATAAAGAACTATTGATAGACCTTTCTTTTTTAATATCAAAATTTCACATGGTTTGCAAAATAATAAAATAATTTCTTATGTATAATTAAATAATTTCTTCAGCTTGATTTAATTTGTATCAATCTCTAAACAAGATATGGCATATACTTAGCATCAGGTATCTTATACAAGGAGGAACAGAAGAAAATTTTTACATTTATCTTGTATATATAAACAATCAGTATATGCATTACAATGGTAAATGTCAATAATATAAATATTCTCATTTTCCTAGACAAATATACATCGCAGTTTGGTTGCGGCAGTCAATATGCTTATTACCACGATGAGGACGAAACGAGCTTCCACTTGGTGGACACTACTCGTGTGCAGAAGCCACCGTATCAACGTGGCCGTTTCCGTCACAACCAGCGCAACATGCGCGGTCGCGGTGGCCAACGTGGTGCGTTGAGCCAGATGCAACAATTGGGGAAGCTGAAGCTGCGTGAACGAGAGCGTAAGGGACAAACGAAACGCTGGGGTAGACAGCAGGGTTTGCGTAATCACAAGAATCAGCCGCCCATTAAGATACGAGATGCCTCTGTGACTGTCCGACCGGATTGGATAACCATCGAGGAGATGGACTTCCCACGTCTGGCGAAACTCTCGCTGCCTGGCGTGAAAGATGGTGAGGATATATCGTGCTGCGGCTCGCTCGAATATTATGACAAGACGTACGACCGCGTGAACGTAAAGAGTGAGAAGCCGCTTCAACGAATCGACCGGATCTTCCATACGGTGACTACTACCGATGACCCTATTGTCCGCAAACTGTCCAAGACCGAGGGCAACGTTTACGCCACTGATGCGATTTTAGCTACTATAATGTGCTGTACGCGCAGCAATTATTCGTGGGACATCGTCATCGAGAAGATTGGCGACAAGCTGTTCTTCGACAAGCGCGACAACACCGAGTTCGACTTGCTGACCGTGAATGAGACTAGCGTAGAGCCACCACAAGACGATGGCAACTCGTTGAATTCGCCGCGTAATTTGGCTCTCGAAGCGACCTTCATCAATCATAACTTCTCGCAACAGGTGCTGAAGTCAAATGAGCCGCGCTACAAGTTCGAGGAGGGCAATCCATTCATCTCTGAGGAAGAGGAGAGCGACGTGGCGAGCGTGGCGTACCGTTATCGCAAGTGGGACCTCAACAACGGCATAGTGCTCGTAGCACGTTGCGAACATGACGCTGTCATGCAGGGCCCTAACAACGAGAACCAGTTCTTGACAATCAAGGCTTTAAATGAGTGGGACTCGAAGCTGGCCAACGGAGTCGAGTGGCGTCAGAAGCTGGACACGCAACGGGGCGCAGTCTTAGCTAACGAGCTGCGCAACAACGCGTGCAAACTCGCCAAGTGGACCGTGCAGGCTTTGTTGGCCGGCTCGGATCAGCTCAAATTCGGATACGTGTCGCGCGCTATCGTGCGCGACTCCAGCAAACACGTGATCCTCGGAACTCAGCAGTACAAACCGAACGAGTTTGCGACGCAGATCAATCTAAACATGGACAACGCCTGGGGTATTCTCAGATGTATCATCGACATCTGTATGAAGCAGAAGGATGGCAAGTACTTGATCATGAAGGATCCGAATAAGCCCATGATCCGGTTATACGATATTCCTGACAATACGTTTGAGAGCGAGGGCGAGGAGGATGAGGATGACGACGAGCCTGTCAATGACGCGTTCCAGAGTTAACAGCGGCAACAGTAATTGCAAAATATTCGTCGCTAGTCGGTAATCGCGTTCGATCGATACACGGATTATTGTAAAAGGCTAACGAGAGTGTGTTGACGTCTTGCGGAAGAAATAAATGAGGAAGTTTGAATACGCTACTTGATGCTACGAAACATTTTATTACGCAGATATTTCTCGATAGAATTGACTAATGTAGATTTTTCTGAATATTTGCGTAGTTTGGAAAACGTATGCGAGAATCTCACAGAGAGACTTGTTTAAACGTATATTGCAGAATTCATTCGTTTGACTATTTATTCAACTGCGACATTTATAATTCGCAATATCATACAGTAAAGAACAAATCTAAGCTCTATTCAATGATATAATAAGGTTGTCAATGATAATATAAAAATTCGCTGTATTCTCTCTCACTTTCTTCACTTATAACTAAATGATTAAAATACACAGCTTCGGATGCTACTCAAAAGATTCCTCGTGAACTGAATCGCTTCTTTGTTCCAATTTTTTTGCAACAAAATAGTAGTTATATCTCAAGAACATTTCAAGAGGAAACAACAGGTATTAATTAAATCCGTACCTAAAAAATCAATTCATTGATGACATACTTTAATTTACGTATAGCAGCATTCATCATCGCATCGTCAATGTCGTAATGAAGAACGATTCTGACCAATTTTTCGCTCAAGGCGAGACAGCGGATTATAATTTTGTCATCTTCATCGGACTGTTCCACTTGTTGGAGCCTCTTCATGAAATTCATCGCGGAGATATACTCGGAATTCACGTCCACGAATATCATATTGGTCTGTACGGATTTCATGTCCACGGTGAATACTTTGGAGTGCATCTGATTGATCGCTTGCGCGATCGTCAGCGTCCTTCGGTGATCTATCTCTAATCGCGGTATCGTTTCTTCCAGGGCGACGAGCCCGGTCGCGGCGATTACCCCAACCTGTCTCATCCCGCCACCTAGAACCTTTCGCCTCCTCCTAGCGTTGACGATGAAGCTCTTGCTTCCGCAAAGAATGGAACCAACCGGCGCGCCTAATCCCTTGCTCAAGCAAAAGGTAACAGAGTCAAACGGAGCCACCAGATCCTTCGCTGAGATCTTCGAGGCGATAGAAGCGTTCCATAATCGCGCCCCGTCCAAATGCATTCTAAGATTGTACTTCCTTGCTACCGCAGCTAACTCCTTGATCCACGATTGAGGTACGATTATCCCATTAATCGTGTTCTCTACCATCACCAGTTTCGAGATCGGTTCGTGTACTCTGTCGGTGCGAATCATGCTCTCGAGCTTCTTCAGGTCGAACGTGCCGTCGTCGTTGTTCGGCAGGACGCAGAGGCTGGCACTGGCCACTTGCGCGGCACCACCTTGCTCGTGTTGAAATACATGCGACTTGTCGCCGCAGTAGACTTCACTACCACGTACGTCGCAGTGATTCATGACTGAAGAGAAACGGAGGCAAGCAAATATTGAAAGTATAGCTTAGTACGGATATTACAGTAAGTGTGAGTACATATACTCACATTTTCTCTCTTCTATAAGTATACATTTTATTATAATCGTAATAGAAACATTAAACTTTGATCTCGAAGTAGAATATAGGATGTCAAGTAAATTATGATAAGCGAAAAATCAAAGAGCATTTATTAAGAGAGATTATCTCTAAAATATGTCGAATAAGTGAAGATAATTTCAACTTTTTATCGAAAAGATGTTAAGCCGTGCCATACAGAAGAGTTATATTGAAATACTTACTAGCTATCAGATTTCCCATCGTACCGGTACTGACAAAAAGTGCGTCTTCTTTTCCAAGTAGCTCCGCGGCTTTTCTTTGCAATTCTAAAAAAATCACAAAAAGATCGAGCTTTGATTACAAATTCTTCTGTTCAAATATTTCGGTTAAAAGATCTACTCAAATTGTAACTTTATTTGTCCTATAATTTCTTTCAATATAATTTAATTTAAATATTAGATATTTTAGGCAACACCCAGTAAGCAAAAAATCATTAAGGATCGATTGTTCCAACATCTTGGTAAGTTACCTGACAGTTAAATATAAGTTGAATATATCTGTATTTGTTTTTTCTTCAAATTAGACAGAGACAGACATATGATATATTTGAAATGTTTTAAAAATATTAAACAAAAATGTTAAAGAGATACGATATTAAAATTAATATTTCAAGATGTTGATCTAATGTTCTTTGTTTACTGGGCATGCATTTTTTTTTACATTCACTACCTTTCACTGTAGGATCTTCCTCATAAACATCGTCCCCCACTTCCGCTTGGAACATAGCCAGTCTCATTGCATCCGTTGGTTTTGTGACCGTATCGCTTCGTAGATCAACTATAATGGCCTAGTAATCACATACTTATTCTGAGCAATTCTCGTGTGGGAAAATGCTGCTTAGTTTCCGGGTGGAAATTGCATTTTTCGTGGATTCATTTCCAACAATGGAAACAAATAGAATTGTATTAATTACAATATATCGAGTTTCTTCAGCGTTTAGGAAACAGATATATATAGTCTCTCTTACACAAGTGTTTAAAATGCAAGCGTGTTATAGAGATAACGTCACAAGTATATGCGATCACGCGCACGTTAGAATGATACAGCGCAATTATAAAAGCTCACATCATTTATTGTCTAACTTCGAGTACAATCGATTGTCTACAATCGATGGCGATTAAAATGAAAAAGATTCTTCGTTTTTTACTTACGTTCTTCTTCTTCGCGTAATCGTGAATACCATCACTGACACCGCCATATGTGGACATGTTGCTCGCGTACTAGTGCCTTCAGTACGTGGTCGTTTCTGCTCTTACGGCTATTGCGAGCGCTTATATATCTTGCGCGCGAGTTGACGCCCCTAATTATAAAATATCTGATATATAATAAAGTATCGTAGTACACGAAGTGAACGAAATGTAAAAAAACGTATCATAGGAATTTTAAAAATAGTTTCAATAAAATTCCGATAAAACACAAAAAATATCGCACATGAAACTCGAAAATTTAGTTTTTTGTTTAACTAAACAATTTTGTTTTTGTTTAACTAAACAATTAAACAATTTTCGTTGGAATAAGAGAGTTTAGGATTTTTACTATAAAAAAAAACCTAAAAATTTTAGGAACCTGTATGTGTGTATAGTTTGCCTCTATTTTTTTATTACATTATTAGACAAATTATATATACCCAGATAGCACAGAGAATTAAAAAAGAATTCAGTCGTATGTCACCAATTCTAAGTTCATTTTTAGATGCAAAAAGAATTCTTTTCACTGAACTGAACCTTGAAGAGCTTTTTGTATCTGAAAATGAACTCAGAATTAGTGGCATACACGACTGAATTCTTTTTTAATTCTTTTTTAATTCTCTGTGCTATGGGTAGATATATAATCAAAACATGATTTTTTCTGAAATGATTTACATCTGAAATTGTCGTTCATTGTCATTTATTATTATCTTTTCATTAGTTTTTTTTTTATTAATTTAGTTTAATATAGCATGCACAATTTTGTAATGTTGAATATTGGTTCTTAAATTCCATGATACTATCGGTCATAAGTACGATACTGAGTAAGTGTAAAAATATCAAGGAGATAAAGCGTTACATTTATCATCGATCTTATTGAACTTCATGAATCTTCAAAGATAATGGAGTAAAATATATTTATCTCACTATTAATTACTCCCTCGAAGTAGTAGACGATTTCGCTTTCGTTGAAAATGTATAATGAATATAAATAAAATAGCAGAAAGCAATGTAAGAATATTTTGCATGAAAATTTATATGTATTTGCTCACCAGACTATTTTTACATTCTTATTAATGTGTAGAATGTAATGTAAACAGAGTCAAATTTTGCAATTAGGTCTTTAAAAATTTATAATCAATAGAAATATATGGTCTGTTCTTTTCAGCTGCACTGCTGAACTGGTGCAATAAGTTAGAGTGAGAAAAGATATACTTGTCTCACTTTAACTAATTGCACAGTTCAGCAGTGCAGCTGAAAAGAACAGACTTAACTCTCTCTCGTATTGCACTTTTCGTGCAATGCTCATTCAAATAAATTATAGTTTTTATTTCAATTGTTTTCCCAAAAAATACGCGCTCTACTGCAACGATTCTTCTTATTACAAATATCATAATTACAATGTAATTCTCTTTTTAATTTTCTCGAAAAAAAATGTTTTTACTTATTTTGTAATTTTCTGCTAAAAGTTTTTGCTATGACCCCCGTAGCCTTTATAGGCCTTCTACAATAAGCTATTAATTATAAGTCGCAAGCAAATTGACCAATCACAGTTGATTATTATTTTCAAAAATAATCGACTATGGTTAATCAGTTTGTCTACGGTTTATGATTAATAGCATATTGTAAAAGGCCCATTAATATAAGATCCGACTATGATTATGTTCCGATATTCAATGCTAATATTAAAAATCTATATCTCATAACACGTATGCTATTAGATTTTCATTACTGGCAATGAATACCGGGATGCAATTTATGAATACCGACCTATATCGCCTAGATACAGCTGAAGAGCTCATTGGCCAAACGCAAGTTATTAGCACAACTGAGGTTTGTTCGCATCGCATGCCCCAACGTGCTCCTACTCGCTCCAACGCACTCTGATTGGTCCGCGTGGTGACGTAAACCAATCAGAGTGCGTTGGAGCGAGTAGGAGCACGTTGGGGCATGCGACGCGAACAAACCTCTGGTGATAATGCGTGAATAGACGCTACAAATGCTTTGAAGCGTAGTATATACCAATTATGGCTTTTTTTAAGTGCTTCAAAGCATTTCCAACGTCTAATGGATTGCACCCAATACGTGCGTTATCGTGTGAACGGGTCTTTACACATAGGGGTTTTTGGTGAATTCCAGGTTAGAGGTATGCCAAAGTGAGGTGGTACCACTGCTAGTCGACAGTTGTGTTGGCGCGGTCGAGATGTGCGTTGAAACGAGAAGTGAACGGGCGGATGTGGGAGGGAAGGAAAGAGCGAGGCAGAAAGAACAGATAACTGGTAAATGGTAAGGAGCACAGAGCAAACAAAAGAGATCACAAAACTTGAATTCGCCTTTTGGTGTACGAGAATCTTTTCTATGTGCGATCTTATGTCATCGGCGCGACATCACTTCTGAAAGCAAAGCGCAAGTAAGCCGGGCCAAACGCTCTCTCACGAGAAGGGCGAGTCCGCCCGTCGCGGTAGTAGCTGTGGTGTAGTGGTGGTAATAAAGTAGTAGTAGAAGAGGAGAGAGTGGTGGTAGTGTCGTCGCGTCGCAGCCGCCACCGCGGCTACACACTCGTTGGTCGCGCATCGTGGCGACAGCTAGTAGCGGCAGCCGCCGTCCTCGTCGTCGTGTGTCGTTAGGCTCGGTCAGACTCGGCTGCGATCGAGTCGATCGTGTCGCGTACGCGAGTACGGTAACGTACGCGACTTAACATCGTGCGAGCTACTTGAACGGGAACGTTGTGCGCGAGATAACGAGAAGGAGCGAGACCAGGAACGGGCGGCGACAGACTGGAGGAGAGAAAAAGAGAGAGAAAGAAAGAGAGAGGCAGTCGCGGGTTAAAAGCGGATAAAGGCAGCAGCAACAGCTTCGCCGCGTCGTGTGTGCGCGCTCGCTAAACAAAGATGGCGGACGTGGACTCGAGGGTAGACCGGTCCGATCCGGAGCTGCGTTTCTTGTCGGTCGACAGGAACAGCTTCAACGACCCGGCCACTCAAGCGGAATGGACGCAGAAGAAGCTGGTGTGGGTGCCTCACGAGAGCCAGGGCTTCGTCGCCGCCGGTATCAAGGGCGAGCGCGGCGACGAGGTCGAGGTGGAGATCGCAGAAACCGGCAAGCGCGTACTCGTCGCGAAGGACGACATACAGAAGATGAATCCGCCCAAGTTCGACAAGGTCGAGGACATGGCGGAGCTCACCTGCCTCAACGAGGCGTCTGTGCTGCATAACCTCAAGGACCGCTACTACTCCGGACTGATTTATGTGAGTGTAATACATACCTCTGATATGTCCTTGTCGCACACGTCTTTATCTCCCGGTGCACGACCGAAGCCTCGCTCGGCCGGTGTACGATGAGTCTCTTTCTCTCTCTTTCTCTCTCTTTCTCTCTCTCTCTCTCTCTCTCTCCTTCCCCCCTCCCTCTTCTTCTTTTCTCTTTCTTTCCCGTCGTTTCTGGCCGGTATTTAAATCTCACTCGAGCTCTAACGTTCGTAGTCGGGCTTGTAGCTAACTCGATTTTCTCTCTCCGCCCGTACTGTGGATCACGAGATTGATGGTTTCCGAGGGTTTCACCTTACAAATATTTAAGAGTTGCCTGACTCGTTCTAATAAGGAAATCTGAGAGCGATTCGAGACGGAAAAACGCAACTCGTACTTACATACCGAACTGGAAATACGAGCTTGCGAGAAACAGACTGCGTTCCGAAATTCACTGCTAGTGTTAAAATTCTATAGTATATGTGACATGAACTATAGATTTTCAGTACTGGCAATGAATTTCGGAACGCAGCCTTTGTCGTGGAATCTTTCCAAATAACTTGCTGGGTTGAAGGTTAAATTTATGTGAGGATAAATAATCAAGACTCATCGTACATCGGGAGCTGAGTGCGAGATTTAATTTGTTTTGCTATGCTCCTTGTAGTTCGTTCAATGATCTGATTTGTCATTTCCATAGTTTTTGTCTCAAAGGAGCATATACATATCTATTTACAGTTTTATTTTTTTTGCTCTATGTATTTCTATATTTTCCTATTTATATTTTTTGTTCAATTGTACTTTTGTGTTTTTTTTTATCGTTTAACCGTAAGAGAACACACGGACACAAATGATATCTGTCCAGGGAAACAGTATGTGTAGAGATAATATTCATCTTAATACACCGTGCACTTTACTTGTACGAAAGTCGCTGCAACGCAGGTGCAGGCGCAGATGTGCGCCGACCCTTGTGCTCGATCGAATCCCTTAGGGCCGGTTTCTCCAATCCCGATTAACTCTCGTGGCGAATTATTTCTTTGTCTCGCAAAAGCGAGGGCCATAATGTTAGGATTATAAAGAATAAAAAATTAAGTTGAGCCGTTTTCAGTTTAGTTGGCCGATGTCAATCAAATCGATGATGCGATTTGAAGAGTGGCTTCAAATATTCTTTCCTCGTTCGTATCGTTGCGACTACGTCACAGGAAAGAATAGGGTTAGAATTTTATCCCATTGAAGCTTTCTGTCCGTTCTTAAGTCGTGGCTCTAATTGATACGCGAACGAAATGTTTGAAAAATGTAAGGAAAAGAAACCGCGATAGAGAAGGAAGAAAGAGAGAGAGAGAGAGAGAGAGGGAGAGAGAGAGAGAGAGAGAGAGAGAGAGAGAGAATTAAGCGCGGTGAATGTTAATCTGCTAAACGCGATTGTTTCGGAAAGTATCTCGACGATTCGAGCAACTTTTGGAGAAACGTTAGAAGCGTCTTCTCGAGGCGTTGCCAGGATTAATATGTTTGCCGTGGTGTGAAGTACCGGTGAGTCATACCGCGTATTCGAGAGACTCGAATTCGAGCCGGCATTATTAATTCGGTAGCCACGCGCGTCGCCGTGAAAATTAATCGTTGGCACCATTGAGAAATTCCACGGAATTCTCCGTTGGATTAAACGTGAAACGCGGCTCATACACGACGCGCCGGGGCTTCCAAATATTTATGAAGCGACGACACGAGCTGAACGCGCGGCTCACGTTCGTCTATCACCGAGGTTCCGTTCGCCGCATTAAAACGCATATTATTCGGCGTCGCTCGTTTTTTGCGCGAACCATAGAGAGATGTACGGGGATAAGTAAATCAATAGCTTGGAAGTAGAACAGCCTATATCGTATTTGTAGCACTCGAGCTGCAGCCTGGAAACCAACAAGAGGTGGAAGATTTTCAAACGTTCGTTTCAACGCGCGAGAATAATTTTCTACATCTATTCTAGGTCTAATATAAGAGAGTAATGATCAAACTTATCGAAGTCATAATCGACGATAGCCAATGGCAAAGCGCGCTGGTCCTTTTACCTGCCGGCGACGTCGCTTGGCTAATGGCTCGAGCTATCACAATAAGAGGTTTGACAGCTATGGATGTGAGACATTTATTATCTTATTTCTGAACTATACAAAAGTTACAGAATGATGACAATTTGATCGTTCTATTTCGAAACAAAAATCGCATGATTTTGAAGTAAGTAACATCGTGGGTGACGTCTCGCCTCCTGATGAATGTCAGGAATGTGTTAAAAGAAACAACAGTGTTTTATTTATATCCGCATGCTGAATTGGCATCGATTGTTCCGGGCGAACTTGCCGGACATCGCGTTTTGAAAAATAGCGCTCACACCGCGGAACAGTCGTCTTATTCCGACCAACGAGAAGACCGTACGACTCTCGCTTGTAAGACGGACTAAAGATAGCACTCTCGGTTCACTACGGCTCTTGCTCGTCCTCGTCTGGAATTAATCCGCGCGCGAGATATATCGGAAATGTCGGGAGACCGAAAGAGAGACGAAAAGAGAAGTGGGGAGAGAGAGAGAGAGAGAGAGAGAGAGAGAGAGAGAGAGAGAGAGATGCGACGCGAATGGATTCGATCAGGAAAAGACGACTGGTTGCGTATCGCGTGGCGACAATTTAGGTGCAATGATTTAGGTGCTTACACTTCTCTAATAGCGAATTCGCTCGGATGTCTCAATTTCTAATATATGCCGCCGCAAGTTAGTAACGCTTAAGATAACAGAAAGTATCTCGAACATTGAAGAATTTTCTTATTTTCAGAACAGTCTAAATTTATACTTTAGAGAATGAAATTCACGTTAGAAAATTCTACGCAGAGAATTGTCTTGAGTTCATGTCTCAAGAGAGAGTAATTTTGTATCTCAATGTTCCTCAAATAAGCTCTTCATTTGTGTTTGGCACCTCGTGATGCTTATATAGAGTATAAGAAGTACCGAGTGCCAAAAAGCACGAATATTCTATTACCTTAGCTTCCGTAGTTGCTATAATTTAAGAGTAATTTTCCTGCAAGCAAAGCGGCATCACGCAACCATTTTTTAGCTCGCCGCTTCTGACTCTTAAACAGAAAGTTTAAGTTTTCACATGTCATTATATGAAGCGCAGATGAAATACTTGTTATTTTCTCTCTCCTATTGCAGAGTGTTTAGAATGCATTCTGTTATATTTATGAATATTGGAAGTTTAGAATTTTCTTTAAGTAGCAAACACGCACAAAACTATGTGGCTGTGATGCATAGCGCAGATAACGAACGATCGAATGAAAATACCCCGAAGAAAGCCGTTTTGTAAGAGCTAATTGCAGTGTGGGAAATAAAAACGCTTGACTCACATACCTCTGCAGCGCAGATATAACCACCGAGTCTGAGGTTTAAAAATTAACCCCGGCGATATTCAAGAAAAAGCGTATCCCCAATGCTAGACTTTCACGTTCAATTATCGAAGGGAGTTAATTAATAACGTGTGCGTATCCGACATAATTTAAAATCACAGGAATAAATTTGTTCTTTTCGCCGCGAAGTCGGCCGTTCCTTTTTCACGACGAGCACGAGAGAGAATGGCCGCGTCCTCGGTGCGTGTTAACCGAAAGAAAGCCGGTGATTCTAAGGTCAAGGGCGAGCTACGCAGAAACCGCGTACGAACAGGTATTCGCAGGTCTCCAGGTAAAAGTGAGATGGGCGGTGCCGATGGTGACCAAATCCACAAGTCGTCGATGTGTGTTGCGCCTACGTAAAGACGAATACACACGCGGCACCCATTTCCTTGATATTTCCGCTTATCGTCGGGTGATAAGAGAGCCTTGTCCCACCCCGACGAATGCTGTGACTCATGCTAATTTCGATTGCATTACAAAAATGCGGCCGCCGATTGCGCGCCGGCGCTCGACTTTGATCGCGTACATGGAGGACAGGTGCTGGGGTTCTTCTATCGCCATCGGACAAGTTTTCGTTCCTTTCGATCCGCAGATATTGTCATCGGACGGAAATGACTGTAAATTTTGCACGACAAATCGTTCGATCGCACGCGGACTTTGATACGTGTATTCGTACTTCGAAAAACAGGACATATGTCTGTTTCCTTGGCTTTCAGTTACAAGAGTCCTAAAGTCCGTAAACCTTCCATTGCGCCGATTGATTGGTCGATATTTTAGTGGTTAACGAGCGGAAAGTTGTACTATTAGGTTAGGAATAACTTTCATAAAATATTTGCGATAAAATGTTTGCAAATTTTTATCTTAATTTAATTGAAGAATTCAGATTAAGAATGAAAGATCTATAATTTAAGTTTTATTCTTATACGTGTGGAAACTGTAGGAACGTATGTTGGCTCTTTTGCTTTCACGGTACAGGTATAATGTGGGATCATACGAATTGCATATTTCGTTATATTATCAAAATTACAACACGCAACGAACATCGACTGTTCTCATTCACTAACGTTTTTATTAAAGAAATATCTCCATACGGTGTTTCCCGTGTTCGGATAATTCCTCTTCCTTGTACTACCGTATCAGTGTTTTCGTGTTTCCTCTCTGCCGTCAAGAAAAGTATTCGACGATAGTCGCATTCGATAAGATAGCAAATCGCGCGCAGCTGTTCTCACACACTCGAATGTAACGTGTAACTTGGCTCTCTCGTCAGGAGATCGGCAAGTGTCTTACGTTTTAAAATAAAAGAACGCTGATTGCAATCGTCGCATTTATCTTCCAAATATATCACGCGCTCCGGGACGCGAGACACGCGAGAGCGCGTTATCAAAGTTATTGAAACGTCACAAAATGTCGTTTAACTGTTCCACGTCACTCATTTCAAGTCTCTCCGGGTAATCGACGAGACATCGCGATCGTCGATCAATCGCAGCTTAATTCCCTCCGAGGGAGTAATTTACACACGTAATTCTTATCGGTCAACTTTGGATAGCGTGCCATATGGTATTGTCGGGGCCAGAAGGGTTAAATGCGACCTCGCGAGGCCAAGTTTTTATCGCGAGAACTTGGTGTTTAGATCATCGGTGCACCGTGTGCGCGACAACGAGCATGCCTGTGTGTATGCTTGCGCGCGTGCGTCTGTGTCATAGCTCTTAATGAATTTATCGAACCACAACGGGCGCGGATGTTAGGGATTTGGCTGGGAAATTTGCGTCAGAAATTCCACACGGACTTCGTCATGGCTCTCGTGTCGGTTTACGCGCAGCGCACATTGTTTGGACAAGAGGTACCGAGAATTTCAACCGGTACCATTATCGTCGTCGACACTCGTCGGCGACCCGTTAATGTTGCGCGCGCTATCGCGTCGCGATAATTTCGCACGAAACAGAAGACAAGAAGGTGCGAGCTAATGCTGTTTGCACACGGCAAACTTGTACGCTCCAGATTTTGTGAGCCAA